TTGAGAGTGGACTGAGAAGGCCATAGGTCAGTTAAGTATGGGAAACGGGACACACTAGATATAAAGTAATTCAAGAAAGTTGCACCTTTTCTGTTCTGTTCGTGCATTCAATGAAACTCTGATTTTGTGCAGGAAATGTCACAATAAACCAAATGGCTTGCAAAACTTGTGCTTGTTACCACCTAAAGTAGTTGCTACCTTCAACTTAAAATCCATAATTTGTTAACAAGTTTATGTTCTTGAGTTGGTAGTTGCACTTTACTGAATATTAATTTAACAGTTCTTTATGTTTATGCAAAAATGGAGAAAAAAGTCCAGGGTTAGCTAGTTTTCATCTTGAATATTTTCTGCTTTCCCCTCCTTTCTGTTCACATAATTGTTTTCCTTAAACCACAAGACAGGAACTTAAATGTGGGTGATACCTTTAGCTATGTTTGCTTTTTTAGAAAAGGCTAAATGATGTATGTTTTAAATTGTTAGCTGCTTTAGTAGCCCTTGCAAGGGGACAGAAAGGTGGGAGACAAATTTTGTAAATAAATAAATAAATAAAACATTTTGAAAACGCAGTGAAAATCCATGTTGCTTTGCCTTCCAACTTAAGCATGGGACACCTGTGCTGCTCCCATGCCATCAAAGATTAATCTTCTTGTCTTTGTCTTGCTGTAGATTTTTTGGGGGTGAAGGCTGGTAGGGGAGATTTGGTAAAAACTTTGTGATTTATTATAAATAGTTGTAAAATATGTTCACATGTAAAGTGGGGTACGTTTGCCTTTTGGAGCCATTTGTTATTTAGCAGTAATCAGCTAAAAACAAACGCAAGAATGAATTCTGATAGGTAGCCGTGTTAGTCTGTCTGTAGTAGTAGAAAAGAGTAAGAGTCCAGTAGCACCTCAAATTTGTGGTAGGGTATGAGCTTTCATGAGTCACTGCTCACTTCTTCAGATAGAAGTGAGCAGTGACTCAAGAATGAATTCAGCGTGTGCTCTACTCTGCTTGTTAGGGGTGGGGCCATGGCTCAATGGTAGAACATCTGCTTGGCATGCTGAAGGTCCCAGGTTCAGTCCCCGGCATCTCCAGTTAAAAGGGGTCAGGTTGTAGGTGATGTGAAGAACCTCTGTCTGAGACCCTGGAGAGCTGCTGCCAGTCTGAGTAGGGAATACTGACCTCAGTGGACCAGTGGTCTGATTTAGCACAAGGCAGCTTCATATGTTCCTGGTTCTCCAGAGCTGTGAACATTCCTTTTGGCTGTGGCGATGATCTAAAAGGTGCATGTGAAGGGAGCTAAATGAAAGACAAATACTTTCATTTCTGCACTGGATGGTCAACGTGAGGGCTAACAGTTACCTACCATTTGGGGGACAGTTTGAAAGAAACAGTGGGGCTTAGAACTCCCACTTTTGGAAGTGGGTTGCTAGAATAATTAAATACACTCACTTAAAGCTTCACTTCAATAAAAGTTAATACTTCCCTGCCTTTTCTGGTCTCTTAACTATTTAAAAGGTTAGACATTTATGGGCACTCAAACAAAAGGTTACGCTTTTATGGATACTCAAAATCTAGAGGTCATATGAATTATTATTTTTTAAGAATAACATGTAAAAGATAATGACCAACTGCATTCGTTCATATTTGTATTTTGAATCTGTTGAAATCACTGAGGTGATCTGCAGAAAAAAAACACGTTGCTATTTGTAGTGTACTTGGGCTCCTTGCCACCAGCCCACCTGGAAACAACAAGAATTTGTCTGCATGTTTGTGACCACTGGTACCACAGTTATAGAGAAGCATAGCTTTGCCCGTGTGATGGAGCTTTATCCCCCGTCACTGCAGGAGGCTCTGTGCCCTGGTAGATCCTCTGTCCCTGGTACTGTTGAATTGAGATCCAGGTGTTGTCCAGGGTTCAGGAGCGATGCCGGACGCACAGAAGGCTTGCGTATCCTCAGTAGGATTGCTCAGCTTTGAACTACAGATCACTATGAAAAACCTGTGATTTGGCAGGAAAAAGGCTTTGTCATACCTTGTGGACAGCTGCTTTCTGAAATCTGAAGTCCCATTGACTGAATAGAACTACTTTCATAGTTACTTGGATCCCGATCACAGTGCCTATATGCTTAATAAAACGAAATTACCATGAAGTATACCCCCTGTTAGGGGAAGAGTGAATGGCAATTTGGTATGGTGCAGTTTCTTCTTGGTAGAGAAACAAATGGTGAATAGGAAGATCACATGTGCTAGAATTTGGCCTGAACTGGATGGCCCAGGCTTGCCAGAGCTCAGAAGCTAAGCAGGGTCGACTCTGGTTACTATTTGGATGAGAGACCGCTAAGGGAGTCCAGGGTCACTACACAGAGGCAGGCAATGGCAAACCATCTCCATGTCTCTTGCCTTGAAAACCCTATGATGGGTTGCCATAAGTTGGCTACGACTTGACAGTATTTTGCATGCAGAAAAGGTAGCCAAGCCCTTAGTGGAACCTTAGGTAGAATCTGTCTGTATTAAAAGGTGAAACTCTTCTCTGATCTTATAACTACTGTTCTGGTGATGGTAGTGGTGGCAAATAATTTACTACTTATGGCGTTCACTGCTGTCAGCACTAGACAGGTCTCTTAGACTGATGTATTGGTGTCTTCCAGTCTGTGTTTTTGGGTAGATTTTTCTAGTGCACAATAAAATCTTTGTTGTCATAGGGAGCTGTGAAAATTAGAGAACATGCTGTTTAGTACCATATGCAAATCCTAAAAAAGCAGCTTGTAATCTCTGAAGAAAGTATTGTGATATTTTGAATGGGAATCTGCACTGCCCATATAGAAGGTGAAGTGCTTGTCAGTGATGTAGAGCTGCATTTGATATAAATAATATATTTTATATTTCCGCAGATCAATTTCCTCTCTGATAGTATTGGGTGCCAAGTACTGGTGAATCACAAGCCTTGCAGTATTTGGCGGGCTATTGTTCTGTGGTAGCTTTTTAAAAAAACAACTCAACATGAGTAAAAAACAAATGTTTGAGTAGGCATTGTATCACCCTGGAAAGTTGTGTGCACTGGTGCACAATTTGAACTGTCACCAGACTGTCCACTGTGTCAAGAAGCATCATGTGGTTCCTAAAGATTTCCTGTTTTATTTTTGTCACTGTGTTAGAAAAAAAAAATCCATATTCTTCATTTTCTTTAGCCTCTCTGAGCAGTATTGTTTGGTGTGGTCAAAAAGTACACCTTTCTAATGGTGACCATCAAGATAGTTATGAGCTTTTACAAGGAAACCCACTGAAGTTGTTGCACGTGTTACAGTGAAAGCATCACCTCAGAATGTTGTGTGTGAGGTGGTGGTGGGGGAATCATTTTCTTCAAAGTGCCCATGGGTTCTA